ACTTGCAGACGGAACCAAGCCCACTTGCCCCACAAGTCCGCCTCTGCATCAATAATTAACGGTTCCAGGTCTCTATGTAATACAATCCCTACCCCTCCCTTCGTACCTTGTGCCAAGGACCACACCTGCGGCCCCTCCCACCAATGTGCATATCTTTGAAGTTTAATCTCATCTAATTTAAATTCTTGTATGCACAGACCATTTAACGTTTTTTAGAACAACCAAACTTTGATCCTCTTCCTCTTCCTTCTATCCAGCGGACTACCCATCCCTCTAACATTCAAGGTTGCTAACTTCAATCTAACCATCAGAGGTAAGAACCGTTATTTGACCTTGGATGCAGTCTGAAGGGAGCAGAGTATCGTGGCCCCAGCGGCCATTTCCCCTGGTAGGTGTGTGCGTCATTGGACTGTTTCTTGAGGACTCCCTTGAGTCCAGTGACCTGGTGGACGATCTCCAGGGTGCTATCAGCGAATGAAGGTTCTCTGAATCTGCTAATTTCTCGTTTACATGCAACAAAATCCGAGTTGTCACTCTAGGGGCGAGGACAATCATTTCCACTTTTTGTACGTTCTGTTCCCGAACAGCGTTCAACTTGAACCACTGTACCCTTGTCAGGGAAAGGGTGTCCGTTGTAACAGCGTTGATCCTAGCATCGCGGAGGGGGAAGTAGAACTTATAAATTTTCTCCTTCAGTGAAACTATGATGCTCATCATCGTCGATCTTGGAATCAACCGAAAAGGCAAGGTCTCTCCATACAAATCCTTAACTTTTGTGATAATCTTCACTGGAGTCGGAGTTCTACTCGTTTCAACTGATAGAAGCACAGAACAACCATTATTTGCCATTCTCAAGAAGAAGACTCCCTCCTCTGTTGCTGTACACATTATCGGAGCCATTCTCCTTTCCACCCCACTTCTATCCTGATGACAGATGGTCGAGGCGCTCGTACCATGGTTTCCCCTATATTCCAGTTTACTTTGTGTATCAGATGCCTGACCTTGCCTTCTGCGTGGTGCTCCGAAACTACAACCACAATAACAGTTATTTCCTTCAACCACTTCTAATATATCTCATCCAATGAATCATTCATTTTGAACCTCTTCCCCCTTGTATTGATCACGACCTCACCAAAATTCGGATTGATTTCGTAGCTTTGCCCAATCGATTGCCTTTCTTGGTCTTCTATTGCCCAGAAATTCATCGGTGGCTGCGGACGCTGCCCTCCTTCCTGCTCTTCTGCCTCCATATCTGTCATGCTTGGCCCTTTTGGTGATAACTTTTCTCTTCCTACTTAAGAGTCTGTGTCTCCCTTGTGAGTGTCCGACCAGTCAGATTTCCTCTTCTCACCGTGGTTCCCTCCTCTCGTGATGTTGTACAAATTTTCCTATTTCTCCCTTCAATCCACCTTTATCCTAAAAGTTTTCCCATTCCCCTCCTCCCTAATCTCTCTGTCGACCCCCTCGTTTTCATTTCTCGGTCGAAAACTACCACCCTCCCTGTCGTTCTCTAGCACATCCCTACGCTTCGGAGTCTCCAGCACCTGCACTCCTACCCAAACCAGGTCACCCGCTCTCACCCACTGTTACCCCATCTTCATATGAAACCTACCGCGACCCTGTCAACAGAAAAAAAGTCGGCGAGATGGGCACGTTTATAATTTGACATATTGTTGATTTAGTGACAACATAATTTAATCTGGTTGCAAAAATATGAAATTGTGATTAAAATTATAGGGATAAGTTTTTTTATGTTTATCAACGTGATTCAACATGTTTCAATATGTCTCAACATATTTCATCATGATCAAACTTGTTTTTTTTTTTTGCCTT